TTGGTGATACAAGAAGAAAAATCATCCTACGAATCAGGGAACATCAAAGACTCAACATACGCATGAATATAAAGAGATCTGAAATTAAGGAATGAATTGCACGGACGGGACAGGAAATCGACAAAAAGGTTGGCCACATATGGCGAAAATACAAGAAAACAAAAGATTCGAAAGGTCATCGATATCCAGACCGAAAGCAATCTAATGAACAGGAGATTTGAAAAAAGGCAGAAATAGGGAAAACTTCGCAGCTTACTTAAGCAAACTCGGAGGTCAGAGAACACCAATATCAGCAAAAAGAAGACTAGATCAAAAAATATTTTAAATGATAGATATGAAGACTAAGATGATGTGACCTCTTGTTTGGTCGCAGTCTACTCTAGCTTAAGAATGTTGGTTTGACTTCGTTTTCCCAACTTACTGAGGGCAACAGGGAAATATTGTAAACTTAAGAAATATTAATCACAAGGAGGCCACAGATGAATGGTCGGGAATGAAGAGAGGTCCACAATGAGGCTAACCAAAGTAAGTAGAACAACTATAACATTTGAAGGATGGCCAAGCTATGACATATAATAGCGCGGTAAATGCAGTGGAGACAAGAAATAGTCGGTCAACAGTAGACAGGCTTAAGCATAGAAATGGTTCATTAAGTAAAGGTCTGACCACGAAATTTACCAGGTGCACATGCCGAAGAGTGAGGATGGAGGATAAATGATATCAAAGGATTGAGGAAGGGTTGGAACAGAACACCTTGAGTGGCACGGATTGAGCGAAATCACTGAACCGGGCAGATGAGACGGAGCCCAAGGAACAAGGGCAAGGCTCTGATAAGACCTAGATGAAGAGGTTTGCGGACTATATGGGCAGACTCGAATCAACATTTCCGGCCCATTGGAGGGATAAGGGAGCCAGCTCAAAAGGGCACGCCTGAACAAGGTTTAAATAAGTGAGTAAAAAGTGAGATAGTGAAAGGGCGATACGAGGATAGGGGATTGGCAAATGCACCAGGACAGGAGAGGTACCACAATTGTTCAGCAGACAGTTTAACAGAGGATCGGCTTCACTTGTCTCTAACGAATTGTGGTGCAGTCCTAAGACTGGTGAGGTTCACTTACGATGCCGGTGAAACGTCTGGGAATGTACCAAGTCCACAGTCTGGCGCTGAAAATTCTCACGGATACTATGGACTTCGGACCAGTTGCGTTCCTATAGGTCGCCCTGACAATACGACCAAGTTGCTGAAACAAGGTCAAGCCATTTCTAATGAAATTATACTTCATGAGTTCCTGAAGTAATAGCAGACAAGAATGGCCATAAAGGTGGAAGAACAATAAATGAAAGATTAAAAATATGACTTCAGGCGAAATTAATGTGAGAGTAAGAGGATTAGCTCAAAATTGACACGATTAGAATCCATTAGGGTTTACCATTAATGAACTTGTTTGATACCGATTTGCTAAGTCAAGTAGTTGGCGTTTTTTGCGTTTCTCCATAATCCATGTCATCCATTGCTTCCAAGCGTTGGCTAGCCGGGCATCATCAAAGTGACGCCTCCAATTCAGGCGGCGAAGCTCGCAAACCCAACGTCGTAGCCAAGCGGCTTGGCGCAAGCGCCGGAGTTGATAAGAGGCTTGCATAAATTTGACGGAAGTAGAACGCCTACATGTCTTTTGCTCAAGTGTCCAGGTCCGCCAGGTGACAAGGACCTAAAGATAGATGATGAGAGAGATTAAGAAACTGGAAAGATTTACATAACGAATGGGGTCTGACTCTTGATTGAATTCACAACCGGGCACAATACGCATATATGCGTGTTCTATAACAATGTCGCAAAAACAAACTGAGCGAATCCTGAACTACATTGACTACTTTGTTTGACCCAGGGATGTAAAGCCAACGTGCAAATTGAGGCCGGACAATAATTTTAGCCAAATTCATTTATCTATTGGCGCAGCACGTGCTTTAACCAAAGAAATACCTTTGGCAATAAATACAAGCCGTAGCACCTTTTTACAATCAAATAACTAAGGTGATTTATTTGCATAGCCACAATATCAGAGAAGCCAAAAGTTAATGACGACTCAGGTCTTTGGGCATTGGGTTCTTTAACCAGTATTTCTTTATTCTATTTGGTGTTAAAGTTCTCAACTTATTTAGTCTAGAGGGACTCAAGGCAATTAACAGAGAGCCTTAGCAAGTAGATGGTGAAAATGAATAAATTATTTAACAACCACACTTTTAGTGACATTTGAAAGAACATTGTAGAATGTGTTCCCTGAGACCGTTATTATGTGCTCGCACATACGCTGATTGTCGACTGAATAGACTTCCAGAAGTTAGACCAGTATTCTCAAGAACTAATGCCATCTTTCTCACTCCATTAGAACTCATCCTAGGAGACTTGTCACTTATAAGAGTTCTAACTTATGCAAGGGATGAGACTACTCACTTACATTTCCGACCCAGCACTTTGGAGTCACTTTGCAATTTTTCCAAAAATTCAATCATCATTAGTAGATTCCTAAGGCTCTGTTACGAAACCCATGCCGAAGGAGACAAGGATTTGAAAAGAGTCCAAAAAGACAATTAATTGAGTATTCATTTTGAAGTAGTATAGCTGATAAAATTATTTCTTGCTTTCAACACACCTTATGGAATTTATAATCAGCATGCGAATTTTCCCATAACTAGATGTAATCACAACGTTTGTGTCATGGAACATTAAATTATCCCCTAAAGAGAAATTTCTCAAACACAAATGCAACTGTAGAATTGTCGGAGATGCATAAACTGCACAGTTACAGGCTGGTTTATATTAATTTGTAGGTTAACTTGCTTGAAAACAGATTTAGTCAGGGTGGAGGACCATTTAGGCTTGAAAAATGGCGATAAAGAGAATACAAAATAGTAAAGGCCAT